AAAGTAGTGTATCTTAAAGCAACGCCTTCTGCCATCACCTGCCTCCTGGGATGAGTGGGACTCAGGAGCTTCAGGGTCCCGTTTCCCCAGTGGCAAGGGCAGGTCCTGCTGGTGCCATGCCTCAGGGAGACATCTTGCTTGGCAGGTGGAGGTTGGATCACAGGCAGCAGAGAGAGAGATTTTGCAGCAAGTATCACATGAGGACTGCCTTAAGCATTGTTTTCGTATTTGGTCCGAGTTCTGAGGATAAAGCCAAGAAATCTTACTTCATCAGCTTTGTTCCTATTTTGCTGCCTGACATTGTAGGGAGGTTTTTGTTCGGTGCTTCACAGGTATTCCAGCATGTTGTTGTGAAAGTGGTAAAACATGAGGCAAGCTTTCTTTAAGCAAGTTAAAGATAGGCATCTGTTGAACCACCCGACCCCTTTTTTCATTGATCCGCACCTTGAGTGCTGTCCCGTCTCTAACCTTTCCTTTCTTAATGCAGTTGTTAGAAATGTTGTCGTGGGACAACCCTAACTTGACACAGTATACTTGCATTTCTTCCCCTTCTCCTAGGCTAGGTGTGGGACGCAGGCTCTAGTTCTATTAAGGGATGAGCAGCTCCTAGAGGTGACCAAAAAGAGGTCAAAACCCCAAGAGATTCTTTGATCTATCAGCAGCTTTTCATCAATTTGATCAAGAAACATTTTTGACCTGTTTGTGAATCCTAGCTATGGCAATAGTCTGAATAGCTCTTCTGCCAATTTGAAAGAGGGGTGAGTGAGAGTCACTGGAGATGTCGCTGGCTTGTTTTTGGTTCACCGCCTCCTATCTTACTGCTATCCAAAGTCTACATTTTGGGGGAGAGCTGATGTGGGCTGCGTAGCTATGCATATACAGATAACTCATGGATCTGCATCTGCACTTAAGCAGATCTGCACGTCATGTCTCTGACATGGACTTTGTCACAGTCACACCTGCCCATGAGGCATTTGATTTGGATTGCAGTTTCTCAGAAACCACAGCCAGTTCAGTCTCAGGACATGACTCAGCAGCGCTAGTTATGAGGAATGTGGTTTCTGCAGCCCTTGCTGCTTCCAAATCAATTTCAGGTGCATGTCACACTCTGACAGCTACACAAAATTCTCTCTGATTTTTTTTTCATTTCTGACTGCTGAGCACCACCAGACCATGACCAATAGGATAAGTGGAAATCTTTTATTCACTGATGTGTACTTGGATTATCATTCCCAAAGCAGAGGTGATATATGAGGATCTGTGCCTCACTCGGCAGCTGCTTTGGGGAGAAGTTAGTATCTTGTCTTAAACCATCGCTGAAGATGGGTTCATGCTGGACATTGTATGGAAGCAACTGAGGTGCCGGCATATGTTCCCTTCTGCTGACTTGGCTGTGGTAACGCTAACCACAGCCAGCAAAGAGGAGCGAGCAACTGGCAAGGAACAGTAACATCTCAAATTCCAACAGAAAGATTGGTGAGACCTCTCCTGTCAGCACTTGGATTCCCTTGGTGTTCACTGAGGAATGAAAAGTTAACTGAAGGTGGTGGCAAAAAATGGGTTTGCCTGCCTGGAAAATGCTAAAGCCAATACTGAAAAGCAGAGGTGGATCTGAAGGCAGTTACCTCTCTTGAAATGTATATGGGGATTAAAACATGCCATCCTTGTAGCACATAGGCAATTTTATAATCACTATTGGTATTTCACCTCAAGGTACTCTGTGGGGTGAATTAATTTTGCACCTTTTTGAAGGACTAGAGGCCTGGGATTTGCTGTTAGTCATAAAGGAGAGTTTGCGGTCAAACTAGATGCTTTCTGGAACTCAGAAGTGATTGAACAGTCTGGGATGGGTCAGGATATACCACCACACCTCTGGAAATCAAATCAGGGAAACATGCATGCAGAGAAATGCCACAAGGTGTTACATGGCCATTTCACTTCCATGTCAACAGGAAAAGATACTGCAAAGCTGTGCAAAACAAAAGACAAACTGCTGTGCAAAGCAGTGGCTGCAAAATTAAAATATAGGATGTTTTATTATGTGCAACGTGGTGCCTCCTTTCTTCCCCCACATCTCTACTTGTTACAGAAAGGAATCTCTTTCTTAATGAAAAAACACCCAATCTTGAGTAAGAGGCAATGTAGACATGCAGGGGGTTAAAGTGGCATCTTTGCACAATGCAACCCCCCACCCCAGCAAACCTGCCAGCAGTTGAAAGATATAAATAGGGACATTTAGGGAGAAAAGCATATTGAAGTTCCTTTGAAATGTGCTTGGCTAAAGGAATATTTTCAAGAGAGGGAGTGGAAAAACAAATGGAAAATATTTTCTTTGAAAGGGAAAAAAAAGCAGCAAACTGTCATTCCTAAATAGAGATACTTGGCTGGTGTGTACTTTGTGCAGCCCTGGGTCAGACCTTGCAAACAACTACTAAATTAGGTCCAGCTACTTTGATGCTAAAAGCGTGGAAGTGCCAATAATTAAGTTGCATCAGATGTAGGAAATGACTGATGTGTCTGCCATGCTCACCATAGCAGAATTCGCTGTGCTGCCATTTGACTGACCCCTTTTTCTTTATGTAAGCAAAGGAATTTCCTTCTAAGCAAAATCAGCTAGTTTTACACCTTTGTTTTGTTTTCTGAACTGCTAATCCCCTGAAGGTTATAGAAGCTATTTGAAAGAGCAAATCAAAGCTCCCATAATTTAGTGTTATATTATTTGTTGATGTATGGTTTGATTTAGTGGCTACTTATTATATCAGGTTACCATATAATTATCTTAATTATTGACTCCAGAAGTAAGTAGAGGGATTATGAGAGAGACAGGAAGGCCCAGTGGAAAGAGCATGGCTCAGAGAATCGAACACATCATGGTGTGCTCTTGGCTCCGCCACTCATTTACTCTGAGCCTGAACTCTTCCCTCAGACACCTCGGCCATGAAGTCAGGAGGGATTGCAGGGATGGGATTCATATGCTGACCCAGGGCCCAAAGAGATGCTGGAGAGAAGCATAAAAAGGCAAAATCAGCAGAAAAAAAATGAACACGGACCACAGCATGCATTTGCATCAAAGTGTGGAGCACCTACGTGGTCACAGAGAGGGGTAGTTTTGCCACCAAGGCCTGAAATTTGGGTCTGATTGCTGTTCATTTCCAGCTTCTGCTACTGATTTCCTGTGTGAAATCAGGAAGCCCTTGGATCCCTTTCTGCAAAACAAGGATGATAAAAATAATCCTTCTGTCTTTGGTTTTAGCAATTTAAATTATTGGAGAACAGCTCCTCCACAGCCTTCAGCCATGGTTCTCATGGCATTGCTGCCATTTGTGGCTTTTAGTCTCCTAGTCCTTTGTCTGATAGCCATCGACCAAAGCCAAAGGTTTGATTTAGTAGGCACCACTGCAATATAAAAGCAACATTGAAAGGCTGTCAGGGCAGCCTATAGTTCCTGTATTGATAATATTTGACATATACTGACAAAATATTTCATCTATTGACAAGCTGAGTTGCGTCTTTTTCCGTAAGAAAGGAACAGACACACTGGTTCTGCTTAGCCTGTGCAAATTACTTCTCTGATTTTGTTTTTCTTTCCTGAGCCAAAAATTGGGGATAATAGAATGTATCTATTTACTTCCTAGAAAAGATCGGTTAATGTGAAATGGTGCATGGTGGCTTAGTGCTGAATAAGTGGAATACCCTAATCCAGCAAGGTATCCTTGTTCTATTGTACGCCTTTTCTGCGTACCATCTGGAGTTGTTCTCTGCTTAGTATTTTCAGTATGTACCATATGTTTTTGCATGAAAATTCAATAAAATATGCATTATACATGAAAAGTGCTGTAGTAAATAAAGGAAGGATGAAATCCAGTCCCCTTTGTGAACGGCAGGGGCCCCAAATCTTCATAAAAGGTTTAGTCTAGTCTGACGTCTGTGCTTTTCTCTAATTTACTCTGTGTCAGTCTTTAGGAGATGCTCTAATTTAAAACAAAACTCTGCTTTCCTGATGAGGTTATTAGATGTACTTTGTCTGCCCTCTGCTGAGAGCGCTGAATAAGACAGGGAAAACAGCCTTTCTCCGAGGAAGGTAACAGAGGGAGAAATTCTCTGTTCGTCCAGGCACTGACTCGTGTCACTGCCGCCGGTGGTTGTCCGCGGTTTGGTGTCTCTCCCTGTCTGTCTGCTGCCTCTCAGAGGGCAAAGTCTTCTGAACTACAGCCCTGTTTGGGTTTTAGTGCCTGCCACTCGTTGTCAAGGGCCGAGTGGTTATGTAGACTTATGAAAATGTGGGCTCAGGCATTGCACACCATGCAAAATTCAGCAGCATTGCACCAGGGGTGGCTGCAGGAGGAAACAGGCTTCTCTCCCCAGGCACTATAGCAATCCTGCCAGGTGGGATTTGAGCTGTACCTCAACCCCCTCTACTCGGCACAGCAATTCGTCGCTGTGTGCCATTCCTGATCAGGGTGGCGATTTCTTCTAGTGTCATGTCCCACCCCTCCGCAGGCATCACAGCACTAGCACTTTGCTTTATTTCTATAAGTGGGAAAGAGCAAAGGGTTTGCTCCAACATCAACAAGAATAACTGTAGGACTTGCTGTTTCTTGTGAACAAAACGCTCCTGGTCTGCCATGTGCTTGTCTTTGGAAAGAAACAAAGGTCCTGTGCAGATTTTAGTGCATGTATTAAACAATAGCTCTGTTGTAGCTATTAATGCTCTCTGTAATGCCCTGGTTTTAATACTTCCTGGCAGGTTGATTTATTATTATCTTTTCAGCTGGGCTGTGAACCAAAGTGTTTTGATGATGAAAGGAATGTTATACACACATTTAATTACTGCCCACATTTTTGTATAATTTTATCACTTGCTGTTTTAGATGAGACATCGACTTCTACTACAGGAAAAAATGCCCAGTAAAAAATAGATTATTTAAAAGCTAATCTGAGATGAGTTTGACACTTAAATGTGAGAAAATTTAATTGTTCCTTTCTTCCTGCCTTTTCAGATGGTCCCTGATTACCAAAATGTACAAGAACTCCCTTATCTGGATATGGTGATTGCAGAGACATTGCGCATGTACCCACCTGCATTCAGGTATCTTTTTTTTTCTTTTTTTCTTCTGATTCCACAGGGTAGATCCCTAGCTCTATAAAATGGAAATCTGCTGTTGGAAGACCAATGTGCCCTTGGTCTCTGTGCCAACATCAATACTGCTTGTGTATGCGAAAGATAGAATGTGGCCTATTGAAGGAAAACTGGCTAATACTGGTATTTCTAAAGCAGATTTTTACAACAGATTGGCCAGGATTGCTTCCTCACTGTTCTTCACATCCTCCAAGATTAGAAGATGGAGCCATTTTGCAGCAGGACTGGCCTTAGAGAGACAGATGATGCTGCTTCTGTATGCCTCAGGCTTAGGGGATATGGAGCAAAGACCTACCCTAGCCTGGTGGCAGGTGGATGGGTTACCTTGCTGGTCATTAAGGTCCTGATCTGTGGATGGGTTGCACATTGAGAAAGCTGTGTTTTACATGTGTGTTTAACTTGGACCCCTGCCATTTTGCACTTAGTACTGTGTTATACTAGTACAGCTAAGATAATGGCTACACCCATTAAATTTTGAAAATTTTGCCCCAATTCACACAAGACTAATTTTACTAAGTTATATTGATGAACTGAAAACAAGGGGGAAAGAAATTAGAAAATAGTTTGATTTCCAGATTTCCAGGTTATCACAAGCATAAATGTAAATGTTAAGAATGGAACTTCTCAAAGCGGTCAGGCAGTCACACTGCTTCTCATGAAGCCGAGGTAAAAATTCAGATGACTGGAAGGGAGACAAAGCTGAGCTTGCTGTGAGAGCCTCTGAAAAAATTCACCCCATGATTGCAAGCACCTTAAAATAAAAACAAAAGCTTAAAATCATATTCTGTTTAGTATGTTCACAAAGATCAGAAATCAATATTATTCCATGGGAATCTGTAGGATTGTTCAGAGAGTAAATGTCAAAGACGCTTGCTCCTGGATGCGATGACTGGCTTTACTATGTTATACATGGTATACAGGTGGAAATTGTTTTGCCAGTTAAAGCATCAAGGATGTTTGCGTTTCAGCTGAACCACTGGGAAACAATCAATGTTTGTCAGATGGGAAACAGAATGAGAACGGAGCAAAGCTGTTCCTAAGTTTTGGTTGGCATTGTCAGTGGTGTTTATTGATCTGGCTCTTACTCTGATAGATGTGGAATGGATAGGACAGCCCAGTGCCTTGGAAGGATGCTAATTGCCTATGATGAGGATAATGCTGAGTTAGGGGAAAATGCAGTAGCAGCCAAGCTTGTTATAAAATTAGTTGTTTATTGGGTTTTTTTAAAGTGAACTTACTAGACAGAAAACTTTCTTCCCCAGAGCTCATGTTTCTACTATCATCAAATTCATGTAAAGATGAGATGGATGGCTTGTCAATGTATTTTTTTAGCATTGTAGTGTTTTGTTCCAGGTTTGGGGCCTCTGTTATTTATTTGTCTATAAGAAAGAGATGGGTGGCAGCAGGGAAAGAATGTATTCCTGTAATGATACCAGATTGACAGCTCTGAAACATTTTAGGCACAGCATGGGGAGCGGCAAAATGAGCTCCTGCACATTGTCTCACCCCATGCTGGTGCCAGGAAATAGCTCCTAGGCTGAGATAGCAGGGCACCCACCTGGGTGTGGGCTGGTGTGAGGTCTGTAGTGATCACTAAGCACCAAAAGACTTAGATCAGGATCTGCCACCATACATGCATGCCCACACACCATTTTTTACAAGGTTTACAGACCCAAGCTCAGCTTTGGCAGGAGGCTTTTCTCAGGCTTCTTGTCACGAAGAGGTTCCTAAGGACAGTCCTACTCTGTCACCTGTCACCACGGGGTGGGAGGAAACTGGGGAGTTTTGTTGCTAACATCATGCCTTTCTTGGATGAGTGTACATGAACTGCAGTTTTCCAAGGCTTGTGAATTGATTGTATTTTTGTAGCAGCAGCAGAACACTCGGCCCTAACTTTAAAACCATCCCTTGCT